GCGTAGGGCCTGTTGAGTTGGTGCCTGGACGCTCTGCCACGATCTTGCCTGCATAAAGAAAAAATTAGCATTAAGAAGACAATGTCTGGAATGATTGCAATATGTAACACAGAAAAGAAAGGGACACACCGAAAGCCTCTGCACTCTTGGTCCAGGCATTGAGGTCCCACTGGAACTTCATCTCGCCATGTGGCTCCACAGGATCCACAATCATCTTGAGGGCCCGATGCAGCTGGAAATAGATCTGAAAAAGGGGCAGTGCATGAACATACAGACAATAAACAAGGCTCCAGGGTGCTGAGCGGCACCTGCCTGGATCCCATCACCTGAGTGTCCACCAGCACACACCAGCTTCTTGGAGAGCAGCAGAGCTGTGTTGTTGTCACTCTCCAGAGCCCATGAGGCAAAGCGCAGGATATGTTCCTGGTGCTTCTGGATCTTGGTCATGGTCCAGTGTTGTCGCTCCAGGCGCTCCTGCTGCCCCTCTGTCACCTTCTGCAGGTAGAGGAGAAGACCAAGGAAAGAAAACACCAAGGATGGCATCAACAGCCAGCACAAAGTGCTAGTCCCCAAGACCCTCCCACTGTAGATAGGGTTGGCAGCCAGCAGATGGGACCCAGAAACCCTCCCCCCTCAAACGGGGCATACCTGGGCATCGTTGACCAGCACACGGCCCCGCTTGTTCAGTTCCTTCATGATCTGCAAAATGGCCATCTTAACATCCACCTGCACACGCTTCTGTACATCAGACACTTGGCGGATCCTGGGGGAGCAGCAGAGTGAGCCAGGTTAGGAAGGTGCTCAGCAGGAACTGCCCCCAACTATAGCCCTGGCTTCCACACTTACGAGCTGCGAACCTCCTTGGTGTTCTTCTGCAGCGTCGCATGCTTGTCCCCAAGGCGTTTTACCAGTGAGGCCAGGAGCTTGCGCTGGTTCCTCACTGCATCCTCCAGAAACTGATATCTGAGGGCAAACAGAAGTGGGCCTGGGTGCTGAACATGGGAATGGGCAGCACCCAGCCATCCTACTTCAGTACTCACTGGTGGTCCTTGTGGGTGTTGAGCTGGCAGTCCCTACAAGTGAGGGTGTCACAGCTCTCACAGAACAGCACAAGGGGCTCGTGCTTGTGCACGTTGCAGTACACTGTGCGCTCACCGTCCCTGGACTTGGCTGGCCCTGGGGAACAGAAGAAACCATGAGGCTGAAGCTCATCCTTTAGCTATCTCCAACTCAAGTGGTAGACAAAACTTAAGGCCTCACTTCCTGCCTGTCCTGCAACCATAGGCTGTCTGCTGGGAAAACCCAAAGGCCCTGCATCAGTGGCCAGGAAAAAAGCACAGGCCTGTAAGCCTAGATCCTTCCTCTCAAAACCCTCTGCCCCAACCCTGACCCAGAGAACTACCCCTGCTCCTTCCAGCTTCTGACACTGACAACAAACTCTAAAGACTTTGACAGAGACCTCCCATCTGCTATTCCCTTTACTAGAACCTTCCCTGGGTAGACACTCAGGAGAGCCCCTCCACCTTGAAAACCTCCACCGGGCTCCATTTCTCCTCTCTCACAGCAGGTTCTGTCCAGCAGAGGAGAGATTATGGCTACTGTGGCATCCAAGCACACAGAATGTTTGCTTGCTGGCACACACAGAAGCCAATCAGGGACTAGAGACACTGCTCAGGTGCAGCTTCCTCAGAAGTCATGTCTTGGTTGATCTCTCTTCAGTAATTAAGAAGTCCACAAACCTTTTACAACCCATAGGCCTACGGAAGGTTCTGGCCTCACAAAGCCTTGTCAGGATAGAAAAGTGAAAATGTCAGACCAAACCCCTCACTGAGAGATCAAGTCTCCTCTCTCTGAGAAGAATCTTGGTGATTAAAGTAATACTGCAAAAAGGCCAATACACCGCTACCCCACTCCCAACCTGTCACCACCAGCAAGCTGCTTGAGACCATCTACCCAATCTCAATTACATCTTGGCTACACTATTCCAGCCTAAGACATACAACACTGGGATACGAGTCAACCAGACAGACCACAGTTCCTCCAATATTGCCCCCCTCCTGCACCCTGCCTGACTAAACCCAGGAGCCCTTTGCTCCTGATTCCTCATGCCCCACAGCCACCACCTCCATCCTTATCTTCTTGCCAATGCTATGCTATTCCTCTGTGACTGAGAAGTCACAGTGTAACTACGAGAAGGCCACACATAGTGAGTTCTGAACCAAAAACAGGCTAGACTCAAAAAGTCCTTTTATGTGCCACTACCAACATTTACAGAAAAGCCTACAAGTACTTTAGCTGAACTTTAAAATGCGTATGATCCGAAGATGAAAGATTTCTAAAACTCACTCTCCGTCCATAATGGCCTTGAAGGTTCTTGCAGTTTATCAACACACTGTGGCTCATACTTTCCCATACAGTTTCCCATACAGAAACTTAACCATGTTGCCAGTGAATTCTTCAAAAGGCCTCATACCCTTTCTCCAAACTCCCTGGGCTTCCCTGTTGGAATAAGCTGGCCCCTCCCACTGGAGCTTTTCCCCTGAGGAGGGGGTGGGGGTGGGTCCCTGAAGAGCTTCCTTGAACCCTCAGTGCAAAAGGCCCCCTGGCATACAGAGCACCCCCCTCCAAACCCCCCGCTGTCCGGGACTCTGCCCACTCCCTGCCTGTGGCCTTTTCCCTCCCACCTGGACCAGCAGGCAGAGACTGGCACACCTGAGCCCCAGCCTCCCCATTTCTGACTGGTGCCCTAAAACCCTTCAGGTCGTACCCCCTAAAAAAAAAAAAAAAAAGAAAGAAAAGAGAAGAAAAAAACAAAAAGCTCCTTGGGACCCATCCGCCATCTGTAACCAGCACCACAAACAGCTGAGAACAGATGTAAGGTAACCAAGGCTTTTCCCCTCTGCCTTGCATACCAGTGGAGCGCACAGTGTGGTCCTTGGTGTACTTCACCCGCTGGTGTGCCTCCACACACGTCTCACACAGCGGCTCAGAGCACTCCACACAGTAGCTGGTGGCAGGGGCGTTATCCTCACAGCTAGTGCAGCACTGCTGGGCAAAGGCAAAGTAAGCAGAGACAGAACCACCAAATAGGTCCTTACATACACCCCAGGTAATACAACCTGAAATAGTGTCTTTACCTAGCCTATGCAGTCTGCCTAGAGCCTTTCAGTATGAGAAAAATAAAGTCTGGAACTAGTACCATGTCCCCAGGCCTCCTAGGGTTTGCTGGAGCAGGACATACCTGATTTGCATCCTGGGAGTCTGTGGCAGCCTTGCTGCCACTGTCACGCATAAAATAATTCTCCACAATGTCTTTGGAGAAGCATTGCTGCTTGCACACAGGACAGTCAACCACTGGGGGGAAAAAAAATTCCTTTTTGAGACTGTTGCAAATTCACCTCCAAGCTATAACCCCATGGTCCCACTGAGCCTCAACCTCCATCCCAAGGAGGGCCGGATCCTCTCCTCAGGAAGGAGGCCAAACCCTTCCTTCATCGAACTTGAAGCAGACACCCCATGTGAGCGCCAAGCCCAGACTCCAATGCCCATACCCAATTCCGACACGCACTATGCAGGTCCCTATCCTCTCACCCAAATGATCCCCCGCCATCACCACGCTGAGAACCCAATCCCCACACCGAGTCGGGAATGCGGTGGGGGATGGGCTACTTCGGTCGGACCGTACTCACCGGCGCCGTCGCCCGCCGCACCGCCATCCCCCGAGCTGTTGGCGGCGGCGGGCGCCGGAGGCCCGAGGCAGGCACTGCAGGCCGAGTGCAGGCAGGGCAGCAGGCGCGGCTCCCTCTCGGGGCGCAGGCGCTCCCGGCACACACCGCAATGCTCCAGGAGCTCCAGCGCCTCGCCACCGCCCCCCGCGGGCGACGACGCCGAGGCCGAGGCCGCAGCCGCGGCCGAGGAGGCGGCGGCGCGCTTTTCGCCGCCCGCCGAACCCT